TCATCCACTGCTGTCTAGCCTGGTGCCTCTGAAAGCTCGGTGCCACAGGCAACCGCTTCGTTCAAGAACATGGCCGGGCTGGCTCTGCACCGGAGAATCTCTTTGGATTGCATCCATTGTCAGAAATGGGCAGGGAGGAGAGCTATTGAATGTTGTTCCGACCAGCCTACAATGACTTGCTGAGTTATTACTGTCTCACTCAGCTGGTGGAACAGTGATGCCATAGTGCCCGTTTCAGCACATAAAACCATTGTGCATACTTCAGAGAGGATGAACGCCGCATAGACAAATTCAGGTGCATACCTGTGTTGGTGGGAAGCAGCAGAACAAAGCCGCCCTGAGCCTGCTCCAGCGGGGTAGGGCGGGGTATAAATTGTAAAATAAATAAAAAATAAAATAAAAGTTTGAATCCAGTGGCACCTTTAAGACCAAGTGAAGTGTGCTTGCACACGAAAGCTTATACCTCGAATCAGGGGTCATTTCCTGCAGGAGCGCACAGGAGCAGAGCTCCGGCAGTAAAGAGCCCAGGGGGCGGGCACATGCAACAAGCCCCACCCCCTGCTCCCAGCAGCCCTCAGTCAGAGCAAGAAGCAGCCAGGTAAGCTGCAGGGCCCCCCCCCCCGGCCCTCCGGTCCAAAACAGTCCAGTGGCACCTTTAAGACCAAGTTTTTATTCAGGTACAAGCTCTCCCTCCTCTGCGAGGACAGATCTGCACGTTCCTCCCCCCCCCCAGCTAGGAATCCAAAACAGTCCAGTGGAGCCTGAGCGGTGGGTGTTGCTTTCTGACACACTTCCAGTGATGTCAGGGGGCATGGCATATGCAAATAAGTTATGCTAATGAGCTCCTGCACCTCTTTTTCTATGGAATGACCCCTGCCTTGAATAAAAATTTGTTGGTCATAAAGGTGCCACTGGACTCAAGCTTTGTTCCTTACAGACAATTTAGATTTATCATTAAACCCAGCCCAAGGGAGGGCAAAATCCAGCACCCAAAGGCTGCACAGGTGTCTCCAGTGAAGACACTGGAAGAGGAAGGGGCATAGGATTGGGTCCTGCTCCTGCTCCCCCAGACAGAGCTCTGTGAAGTCTCTATCTCTGACCAGCTGCCCCAATGGAGACAACCACCAGGAATTACTTCTTGATTTAGACGGTTAGCCATGTTGGTCGGAAGCAGTAGAACAATTTTAGCCCAGTGGCACATTTAAGACCAGCAAAGGTTTATTCAAGGGATGAGCTTTCATGTGCAAGGCACACTTTTTCAAATACATTGGAACAATAGGTGAGGTTCCCTGTCTATAAATTTGAACCTCAGGCCCCGGGCACACGTGCCGAAAACGCCAGGGGTGAGGAGGCATGGCTATTTGCGCCATCGCATTCTAATCTGCCATTATGCGATCAGATGTGACGCTGGTGCACCAGGGTTTTGTCCTTCGGTGCATGCCGCAAAGAGGACGGCCAGAGGGAATAGGCACGCACCGGTGCGATCACACCGAATGATTCTGTCAGCAGCCCATGGCAAACCATTTGCTAGTAGATCTTTGCAGGTACGTTTTAACTGCGCATCTTCGGCGGCACGCCACAGGCTGGCCATGGGATTAACACATGGAATTCACTGCCACAGGAAGTGGTGATGGCTACAAGCATGGACGGCTTCAAAAGGGAATTAGATAAGCATATGGAGCAGAGGTCCACCAGTGGCTATTAGCCACAAGGTATAGATAGGGACTCTGGGGCAA